TCCATTTTATCCATGGGTTCCTAATTCATTATTTATTACAAACCAGCTGTATCCGAGATTTTATTCGCGTGACTGGGACTAAAGTAACCTATATCTCTTTACATCTCATATATTTTTTTTTTATGATTGACTGATCCGATACTACGCTAAAAATACACAAACGACTTAATTTCATATTCATTTTATGGTTATATTTTATTTCGCAAAGTCGTCTTTGTGATTAAGATATATAGTTTGACCAGAATAAAAAGACTCAATATCATTTTGTATGTCAAATATGATGATTGGTTAAGCCATTATGATGCCAAGAGGTACCAAACAAACTTACTACCACATTTATAATAAATAAGATTTGTATCAATAATTTCTGTCAATGATAATTTGAAAAGTGTATTATAGAAGCGTTATTAATATATGTCATTGACATTCGTAGATCCTTAGTTTTTATTAAGTGAATTTGTTACGGGCTAAAACTAGTATATTACAAATGTTGCAAGAGTTGCAATGATATTATAATAAAAAATATTATTTGATTGGTAACCAGAGGAAGACTCTGTACAAAAGTCGTCTGCTTGGGTACCTCTGTCCCTTTCGTGTTTCAACCGTAAAATAGTAGTGTTTGCATGGCTGTGTTTCAGTTTGAAGGGTAGGATATGGCGTGAATTTACAGGGTACAGAGGAATAACATCTGAGTCCTTAGGAATGGCAACACATGGGGGGTATCATGGGCGAAATAGTATACTCTGTTATGTCCATGGTAGTGCTCATGTCTATAGGCGACGTTTACCACTTTTCATCAGGTGGGCCGTCAGCTTGTTTGCCATTCTAAGTTGTATAAAAAAATCTGTTTGCGAAGAGATCAGGATTACTTAACATGTTCACAAAGTTTTTTTCTATTAGGTAATCCTGTACAGTTGTGGGTATACATGGTGATAACAATGTATTAAACATTATCGAATCTACTGTCGCATTTGTGGTTAATTCAACCACATACAACTCAGTCAGATGTTGGTTAAACTGGATAAAATTATCTTTGGCATTAACAGTAATTTATGTGATATAAGTACGAAATAAGTACTTACATTCATTTCATGTGACTTTATTTTGGGCATATCCATTAGATGTTAAATCGGATGGAATATTTTTCAGACTAGAAAGTCTCCTGGAACATTATGAAATGTAATACATGTTAATATTGAGTCTTTTGAAGACAAATGAAAAAGTATGTTTCATAAACGTATAAAATGAAATTTTGAGTACATTCCACGCTTATATAATTAAATTTGAATAATATTATATAATTATATACTATCATATACATCTAGACAGAGTAAAGAGTATCCAAAAATGGCATGTTTAAAAAATATGTGTAAAATAAATTTCAATAAGACAAAATATGCTACCTTTTAATTTGAAAATAACTACTAAAATATTTTGGTATATTAATTCACATTAGTATTCATATCATATTCAGTATATGTTTTTTTAGTTTATAGTACATTTTTATTTACATATATATAGATATACTCATGTTTGCATTTTGTAATAATCGAACCCAGAACCATTGGTAGTTAAGACACATGTAAATCGTTACATCACCAAGGTTATCAATTAATAATAGTAGCGTTTAGACTGTTTCAAATATCGACCATCTTTAGATTCAAACTTAGATTGAAAAAGTTAAGTTGTATTGTCATTGATATATAATAGACGGGATGTTAAATAAATGAGATTGAATGGTCTATGGTCGTTGCTCGTATATTTACACGTTTCAGTAACTTTTATATACATTCAACTGTGTTGTCTTTCTGTCCTTTTTAGATAACAGGTTGTTAAACATTCACATTGTATTAACCTTTTTTAATACAACTGGGATTTTGGGTAATCTCATTATTCTCTTTAAACATTAACATAATCATTTTAATAAAAACGTAATGACTTTACGGCAATGTTTAGATATTTGTGCTTGTTTTTTTTTTATACAACTTAGAATGGCAAACAAGCTGACGGCCCACCTGATGGAAAGTGGTAACCGTCGCCTATAGACATGAGCAGTACCATGGACGTAATAGAGTATACTGTCTCGACCATGATACCCCCATGCGTTGCCATTCCTGAGGACTCAGGTGTTATTCCTCTGTACCCTGTAAATTCACGCCATATCCCACCCTTCTAACTGAAACACAGCCATGCAAACACAACTGCTTTACGGTTGAAACATAAATGTGACAGAGGTACCCAAGCAATCGACTTTTGTACAAAGTCTCCCTCTGGTAAATGTTTATTTGGTACCCTTACTAAAATATTGCTAGTATTACATATTATGAATGACTATATGACTATAGAAAACTATGAGAATACATTTTCTTAGACTTAATCTGTAACTACAAAGGAGAGGAGATTGTTCGTAATACGGTTTAGTAGTTTCATTGCTAATAATATACCCTGCTAAAATATCTCTACGTGGTCCCTCTTAAAAACTATTGTAGTTAACTTCTGGTAAATTCATTACGACGCTGACTGATCTCATTACTACTCATTATTATAAATCCCTTCTCTTCTATTATAGATTTTTTAATGGAAATGTTGTCGCTTCTGGTGATTTCAAACGGGAAATACAGTAGTGGGGCGTAAGATAGCCACTCACATTTAGACTTTTCAAAAATAAAAAGTGTAAGAAAGAAATATAAGTGCTAAAAATTGGTGTGTATTAAATTTAATCTTAAAGAAATGAAAATGGAATGATACGAGTAACTCAGTTTGACAGATGAGGACTGAGGTCAGTCGGCTCATCGTAATTAATTCACAAGAAATTAACCACAATGGTTTCCAGGGGACAGCATGGAGGTGAACTTGATCCATTGGAAGTAATATACCTTATATACTGGAAATCAGTCCAATGAGCCCCATTAGTAATATTTTTTCCCTTACTACAGATAAATTAGGTTCTGATGATAATTGCTTCATATAAAACAAAGCTTTTTCATCCCATTATATGTCTAAGTTAGAGATCGCACCCCGAGGTAACCCAGATAACGATGAAAAAACGAAAGCAAGAAATGTATAAAATCAAACGGTATTATTGCAGAAAACGCTAAATGGAAATATTGGAGTGATAATTTTCTAACTCTAACACAGCCAGTTATTCTAATAGAGCTTTAACTGGAATAATACTTTTTCATGTTGCTAATAATAATGTAAATTACTTCATATGTAATAAAAATATGTAAAATAGTAATAGAAATTGTATATTTTATATAGATAAGTTTATTTGCTATTTGTTACAAAATGAAGCAAAGTATTCATTTATTTGCGTGAGTTTCCCGCGGCAGACCCATGTTTTGGTATTTTAAAATATTTTTTTTTTAAATATTATTTTGGTTAGAATACGTGTGTTATTTTAAAAATATGTGTTCCAATTAGTGTCATGAAGTTTGTTCTCTACTATTCAACTACGTATATTAAAAATGTCACTATTTTTTACTACAATGTAAAATTGCTTATTTCGGTCATTTTTTATTAATAACTTATAGAGATATGGTAAGTAGAGATATGTATAAAGATAACTTTAATCTCTTTAATATTTAATATCTATTCCTTATTTTCTTAAATATTGCGGTGTTCTTACACTACCTGAAAATTACAGCATTAAAAGTGTACCGAAATAAATAGTCAAAACATAGCTACGGAACTAGACCAATGTGTGTCTGACATGCCGGATTTCATTTCTTCAAATTGCTTAAACCCAAGAAGCTACTGTTTGCGAATTCTATACATGCATTTTTACTCACTGTCGTAACTTTAGGTGTGGGCAGTAGAAGAAACAGTTATCGGTCTTACGGAGCGTCCAATAAATTTGGATTGCCTTTTGTGTAGAACTTTTTCTTCCTTGGAAGACATGAATAGACCGTTACCACCCCACTCGTTTTAATTTCTGTTTGTACGTATTACTTGTTTTCATTCTAATAAAAGTCGAGAGAAAGTCTTGTTATAATCGTAGCGTGATAAGAGATAATAACAAAATCGGGATATCCCTGGGGTAGCCTTTTGTATCTGATACTTAATATTTATGCAAAATAATGCCTGTAAAATCGTACTACGTATCTGTACAAAATAGATAATATTGATACGTAAATTTATTATTTGACATGTATAGATATAATATTTGACTTTAAAAAAAATACCGCAAAAGGAAAGCGGTTTGGAAAGAATACGCTTAGGTAATTTCTCTTAAGTACTCTGTGAGATGATATTGCAAAGAAAAAATCTTTGGGTATATTTTATTCAATTGCTTTTATGGTAAGTATCGAATTGTGTAGCCTGGGATCACAGAGGTAGCTTTGTATATTGGAAACGTTGGTTTTTCTCGACATTAGAAAGATAATTTACTACTTACATACAATGGGAGTACCTAAGTAAAAAGTACATGATCTGTATAAATTATTTAATTTATGGTAATGGAATCTTATCATAATTCCATAGAAATGTTTATTGCGGTTTGATTTGAAAGAAATGTCGCCACTGTGTCGCAGTTATCGAGTCGCACTGAAAGGGTATTGCTTAAAGGGTGAGCGTCAGGCGCCAATATTTTTATACAGGTTTATGTTAAATGCGACACTTCTAATACTCTTTTTTATATCACAAAGTAGTGGATAAATTAAATAAGTAAATAGCTGTGTATATTCTTATAGATAATTGGTAAATGTGTAGATCGTTATTCAAAAATACTCTGCCTAAGTTTAGTGTGTCCCGACTGTCTTCAAAGAAAACTTAAAAATATTAAGGCTCGACAAGAACTAACAGAAGTTGTATGTAAGGATGTAGTCATAGATTACTGTGCGTATGTGTGCGTGTGTGGGCCAGCTGGTCCCCGACGGGCGCTGTGGTGGTTTGGGCGGGGTGTATCGATCTCGGTGGGGCGCGTGCGCCGAGACGACGGGCGCGGGCGGCGTCGGCGGGCCTCGCAGCAACACTCTGTATCACCCGCGCAGTCCGCAGCCGGCCGCCTGGCGAGCGACTGCCGATGACGTCTGTGTACGCCAATCCGCACCGTTTGACATTGAACGCGCGATAACACTCGAAAATCCTCAAACCGCCCCCTCACAGGAATTGCTTTAGACTTGTTCACTTGAAAACTGTTAGAAACTTATTGAGAATATTTTCTCTGAAGGTTTGACGTTATATTGGATGATTTAATAAAAGTGATAACTTTATTTTAGTTGACATTGATAGTACTATCGAACATAATTCGAGATGTCAAAATAAAAAAAAAAGTTGAATGTGAGGGTGCCCGTTGTACATAAAATTTGTGTTGTGTTGTATTATTAAAATATGAATAAGTGTATGATTATCGCATGAAGTGATCGTGTTTGTGACTGAAAAAAGACACTCGGAGACTCGGTCACGAGTTCACGGGTCGTTAATTCAACGAAGGAGAGAATTCGAAAAAGGTCTTCGTTTGCGTCCGCTCATTGGAGTGATAAAATTTATGACAAACGGTAAGGAGTTTGTAGTGATAAGGGTTTCGAGCGTAATTTTAACATTGGTTACGTATCTTGTCTGATTGTTGAATACACTGCTAGTGTTAATTGTTAACTTTCATCTCCTAGGACGTATTTCGTATAAAAGAAACTGTTAACATCAACTGCGGCACCGCTGATAACTGATCCTTCAGTGAATAGCTGTAATTAATCTGCTCTGTGCTTTTCGAGACTATGATAAGGACTATGCCACTACAATATGCCACTGATTGGTGTCATTGTTTTTATTTTTTAACTTCAGTAAAATTGTTATATATATATATATATATATATATATATATATATATATATATATATATACATTATGTAAATTTAGAAGTCTATATTATGTTAGTGTTCTTATTTAACTAAGTAGGGTAAACATACAGTATTAAATTAGTATGTAGATAATCTAACAATAAATCTGAGATGTGAAAGAGAAATTTAATTAATTTTCATATTGCGTTAGGCATAATATATATCTAAATAGCTATATATTACGTAGATAGGTACAATTTTTAGGTTTAATTTTAATAGGATAAATTTATTACCTTATTAAATGTTACTTGTAATTTCTAAAGCATATGACATTGTTGCTGTTCGCGTTTGTATGTTTCTAGACTTATTTTCTAAACTATGTAATGTATTTTAATATGAGTTATACTATTTTTACGAAATATTTGTAAGATCTTAATTTACACTCATACGATACTGGCATGGGGCTCTAGTACTGATTAAAAATTTAAATATGGAAATATTATCACAAGTGAATAACATTTTCTAATAACTAATACAAGTACCGCATAGATACCTCGATTAGTTTAATTATCATTCATTCAATTCAGCCATTATCCGTCCACTGCTGGACATAGGCCTCCCCCATAGACTGCCATAAAGAACGATCCTGAGCCACCTACATCCACGGAGTTTTTACAATAAATTTGACGTCGTCCCTCCATCTAGTGGGGGGTTGTCCTACACCGCTTTTGCCCGTACGGGGTCATAACTTAAGAACCTTTCTTCCTATTAGTTAAATGCAGCAGTTTAATAAATTTATTCATGTGCTCATGTATATACAATAACAACAACTTCCCACAATTTATTTTTAATGCAAAAAGGCCTGCTTTGCATTCGAAGAACATACTCGTTAGGCTAAAAATATTCTAACATCGGGTCTTCTGAAACGTAAGGTCCATACTTGTGTGAAAATTTATGAGAAAGTCGTATATCTTTGGCAAATGAATGTGAACGCGGTCTCTTTGAGGGAGTCCCGGTGGTCCCAGCTACCGAGTACCCGATTATGTGCGTGCGAGTTTCGACCCGCGCCTGTCACGAGTCCAATATTTTTATACACTTTATAACTAAGCATTCTGAGGCGTGATTATAATTTTATATTTCAAGATGTTGCCTTTCATTTTAGATTCGGAGTAAGGTATTATGAATATGTGTCTGATATATACTTTTATACATTTTGGGAAACTACCTATTGAAGGTTGCTAGTGTATGTTTTATAGAGATGTGGTACTATAGCAATAAGATTCAAATTAATATCGAGTAAGATTAGTCAAGAAATAAGAAAATTTTTATGTAGGCACATGTTGTCTTATTTCTTGATCGATTCACTTTGATTCTTTTATAAATTCTTTCCATGTTTATTTAGATTGTGGATATAAACTTTTAGAAATATAAATTTTATTGCTATTTATTTATATAATACTTTATTGCACTAATATTAACTATAAGAATTGTTGAAAAATTTTCAATAAGTATAATATAGTTCGAATATTAATATTCTTTCTTTCTCTATAGTTTATAAATAAAATAATTAGAAAATAATAGAAAAATAAAAAAATGCGAGCGTTAATGTAAAATAATTTCTATAGTTTTACACTAAAATACTTTGTTATGTCCACGGTATTGCTCATGTCTATAGGCGACTGTTACCACTTTACATCAGGTGGGCCGTCAGCTTGTTTGCCATTCTAAGTTGTATAAAAAAAACTAAACTTCACATTTATAATTAGTAATTAATTACAATTATTGTAATAATACATAATTGAAACAATGAAATATTATTATTAATATTGGTATATTATTATTAAAATTGATCTGATTTGTTATATCTATTTATTAACAACTAGCTGCTACTAGTGGCTTTGCTCGCGTGTAACTATGAATGAAGGATAAATGGTTTTATGGAAGTCTGTATTTGTCAAAGTACATGAAATGAAATGACATGAAATTACATTCTGGTTACAAAAAGTATATTTTGATTTTAATTTGCATACTTTTATTTACTATACACACAGTTTCATCTTCTTTAATTTGCTAAAGAAATGTATTTTATTTATATAAACTTTACTATGGTAGCGAAGTTTGTATAAAGAAAACGTATATCTTACATCTCCCTAGGTGATGATATTGAGACATTTTGTATTTTGCATTTCATTATTTGTACCTAGAAGTTTATTTATAAAGTTTTTTAGTGAATATATCCACACAAACGTGTTTACCTTTCAAAACAAAAATAGATATATTACTACTCCTTTTGCTCATTTGAGTGGTGGAATTTTAAACATTTTGAAATGATCATATCGACATTTCTAACGCAAATGATCATTTACTTTCAAAATGTCGGACCATCCATCTAAATTTTCAACCCCTAATTCATATTAATACTCCTACTTCCACCCCATTTCTCCCGGTTTGGGTTGTATGTCCAAAAATAACTAAATACGTATGTATTTATTTTAAACGAAAACCTTTAATATTAAATTAAATTTCATTCTTCTTACTTTAAAAATAATATTTCATAATTTCAACTTAAAAAAATATGGGTTTCTGTACAATCGTTCATTGTTTATTTTATCCCTTTAAGAGTGAATCTTTTAAAAATCCTTCCTTAGTGAATTTTTGTATCATAAAATGCATCAACTGTCTAAATATCACATTTTTAATCATTACTATTTAGGCCGTGTGTTGATGAAGCAATCAGGACTAACTATTTTATTATTATTATTAAATAAAAATGACCAATTTTAAAGTAACTGTGTGGTCCCGGCATAGAATAAGCCACCCCTTTCATTCCCGTGGGTGTCGTAAGAGGCGTCTAAGGGTGGCCGAGGGATGGACAGCAGCGTCCCTGTTAAAAAATCTCTTAAGCCTAACTGCGGTTGCTAATCCGCCTGCTAAGCGTGGCAACTACTAGCAAAACCCTTCAAGGGGAAGCTTTTGTGCAGCAGTGGACAGTTAAACGCTAATATAATGATGATAATGATGATAAAGTATATGCTACTTTACGTTAAAGTATATGCTCTGTGACGTATTATTAAAATTTGTCAATATTAGGGAGAATACTCGACCCGAGCAAATTAGGCGATGATCCATAAATTGACCCGACCGAAAAACAATTCCAGTGCCTTATAAAGTAACGCGTCTTGTTACTGCGCTGTGGAGATTGCCATCTCTTGACATAGTTTCTGCCATAAAACATATTTTGTTTTATTATATAGTAGTTTAATGTTGTATAAAAAGATATATTATATAGGTATTGTAACGTAGTTGTTACTATCGTTGCACAAATATATACGTACTTTAAGGTGAAATCGAATTTACTAGTATTATTTTTCAATTTAGTTATTTATACAGAAAAAACAAAGTTACATTAGTACACACATAAATAGTCTAGAATTATAAACTTAAGTTAGTTTGTAATCCAACATTATTTAATTATTACTGACAGGTTCTTATAAATAATATATAAATAAAGTAATAAAATACTTTAGTGATTTAACGGCACTACTCTTACTGCTATTTGACAGAATGTTCTACCTACGACACTGACAATTTTTATCAAGAAATCATGCATCGATAAATGACAGACAATAATTTCACTTCCCGTATTATCACTGTCTGTTTAGTTAGTATGGTCTTCAAATTTTTTGTTGGATTCAACCCTTGATTTATTTTGTGTAAATATTTACTTTCACTATAACATTCTCTTATTGAAAAGATGCTAATGACACCCATTTCATTCTACATTTGATTAATCCTTGTCCTTCTTTATATAAATACATCTTTGAATTTGTATCTTTCATACGTGAGATACGTCTGTCACTTTTTAACTATTATAAAAATTAGAATTCTAATTTCGATATTATACAAGCAGTTTTTATCTTAAGGCGTTTCGGGGTAGACAGAAGGAATACAGTGCCAAAGGCCTCTACTTTTTCTTATCTACGTTTATAATTCATTGTATAAGCTAGTTTCGAAAAATCTTAACTACTCTCTCTTATATACATAGTATTAACTCATCACACAATAAGGAAACTTACAAATTCTTACGTAAACTGATATATATGGGTAAAATTAGATTTATATAGTAGTGATTAGTAGATTGAAATGAACTAAGGATTGAATTATATTATTCTGTAAGCATTAAAATAATATGGTAATGTTAAAATGGACTTGTTAGTATTACACAAAAATTTTATTGGCAAAGTTGTTATTGAGACATAAAACGTTACAGATATGTACATTGTAACATTCGTTTATGAGTATTATTTTTATTCCAGATTCTTAAACACAAATTTCAATTTGAGAAGCCCGTCTTGGTCGGAAAACTTCGAACAATAGAAAGCAGCAGCTATAGACATAAAATACCTCATTACTTTTTATAACTTCGAGAAATAAAGGAGAGGACGCCCCGGGGAGCATGAAGTTTTCATCAGTCGTGTTCGGTATCAATATGGAAACCTTATCTGCAAAGAAAGCCCAAGCATGTCCACAAAATAAATAGGTCAGCGTTGCGGGAGGTTCAATTTCCTGTAAAAATTACGAGCATGTTTCTTATAAATGTTCAGTGGGTAGATACTAAGATGAGGGTTGCCGTGATTCGCGTCACGTCGCTTCGCCGGTGACCGCAGGGCAGTTTAAAAATTCTCCCTCGGCCTTAGTTGACCAATTCTGAATGGTAGACC